GGGTGGGCCTTTTGCTCGTTCTGCCACTCCAGACCAGCTCCGGCTTGGCCAATCCAGCAAACATCTCTGCTACTTGTTAGGTGGATCCATACTTTCTCCAAAGATGTCTGAATCCTCTCCAAATTTGCCCCTTTTTTGGGGAATCTCCCTCAGCCCCAAAGTACCATATAGAGTTTCCTTTTATACATTTTTTTTTTTTTTTTTTTGAGACGGAGTTTCGCTCTTGTTACCCAGGCCGGAGTGCAATGGCGCGATCTCGGCTCACCGCAACCTCCGCCTCCTGGGTTCAGGCAATTCTCCTGCCTCAGCCTCCTGAGTAGCTGGGATTACAGGCACGTGCCACCATGCCCAGCTAATTTTTTGTAGTTTTAGTAGAGACAGGGTTTCACCATGTTGACCAGGATGGTCTCGATCTCTTGACCTCGTGATCCACCCGCCTCGGCCTCCCAAAGTGCTGGGATTACAGGCTTGAGCCACCGCGCCAGGCTATACTTACTCTTTAATCACAATCATCCTTTTTTTTTTTTTTTTGGAGACAGGGTCTCAGTCAGACGAGGTGACTCACATTTGTCATCCCAGCTACTTAGGAGGCTGAGGCAATTGCTTGAACCCGGGAAGCGGAGGTTGCAGTGAGCCAAAATTGCAACACTGCACTCCAGCCTGGGCGATAGAGTGAGACTCTTGTTTCAAAAAAAAAAAAGAGACAGGGTCTCACTCTGTCAGCAGGCTGGAGTGCAGTGGTTCTGTCATAGCTTCTTATAGTCTCAACCTCCTCACGGCCTCAATCATCCTCCTGCCTCAGCCTCCCGAGTAGCTGGGACTACAGGCACATGCCACCATGCCTGAGTAATTTTAGTATTTTTAGTAGAGATGGGGCTTTACCATATTGCCCAGGCTGGTCTGGAACTCCTGGCCTCAAGTGATCCACCTGCCTCGGCCTCACAAATTAATGGGATTACAGACGTGAGCCACTGCCCGACCTATTTTTTTTTTTTAAAGACGGAGTTTCACCATATTGGTCAGGCTAGTCTCCAACTCCTGACCTCAGGTGATCCGCCCGGCTCAGCCTCCCAAAGTGCTGGGATTACAGGCATGAGCTACCGTGCCCGGTTTTTTTTTTTTTTTTTTTGAGACAGAGTTTTGGTCTTATTACGGAGGCTGGAGTGAAATTGTTTGATCTCAGCTCACTGCAACCTCTGCCTCCTGGGTTCAAGGCATTCTCTTGCCTCAGCCTCCCAAGTAGCTGGAATTACAGGCATTCACCACCATGCCTGGCTAATTTTTTGTATTTTTAGTAGAGACGGGATTTCACCATGTTAGCCAGGCTGGTCTCGAACTCCTGACCTCAGGTGATCCACCCGCTTAGTTTCCCAGGCTGGTCTCGAACTCCTGGCCTCAAGTAATCCTCCTGTCTTGGCCTCCCAAAGTGCTGGGATTGCAGGCAAGAATCACTGTGCTGATGCTGGACAGCATTTCCAATGCCTGGGTATCATGCCCTTGTTTGATTAAGCCGTCTCTCCGTTGATAGTTTGGGTTTCTTCCAGTTTTTCCTCTGCTAAACAATACATTGTTAAACATCCCTGAACATCTGTATGCATCGGTCACAGAGCGTCTGTAATCACTGTTTTGGTTATTTCCAGATGTTTTGTTTGATTTCTAGCTACAAACTAACACTGGAATAAATTTCCTTGTGTACTCATCTTTGTAGACTTGATTTTTTTTTTTTTTTTTTAGAATTCAGTGTTTTTGCTTTTAACATCTCTTTTTGTGTCGGTCTTGAGGACAGAGCCAGCCCAGGGCAGTGTTGCTGCGCATTGCCTGGGATGAAAGGCTGAAGGCTGCCTCCTCTTGCACGCTGGCTTCTGAGATTTCACCTTCTTCTCCTGCTTCTCCTCCAACTCTATGACCCTTCAAGGTAAGAAGAGGGCCCCTGGGCAAGGGGTCTGGCTAGTCCAACCTGAAGAGAGGGGCTTCTGTGAAACCAGTGTGCTGTGTCCCAGGCTATGCATCAGGGTGGCTGGACAGTGTCCCAGCTCCCTCTGCATCCTAGCTACTTCTGAAAGCCGCAGGCACCCACTCTCTTCCTTCTTTCCATCTTTCCATATGCCATTTAACTGTCCATCCCCTGATCCACCCACCCACCCATCCACCCATCAGTCCACCTCCTATTGGGTTATGGCTTCACCAATGTCACCAGTCTCTCCAGCTCTTTTTAATTTTTTTTTTTTTTTTTTGAGACGGAGTTTCGCTCTTGTTACCCAGGCTGGAGTGCAATGGCGCGATCTCGGCTCACCGCAACCTCCGCCTCCTGGGTTCAGGCAATTCTCCTGCCTCAGCCTCCTGAGTAGCTGGGATTACAGGCACGCGCCACCATGCCCAGCTAATTTTTTGTATTTTTTTAGTAGAGACGGGGTTTCACCATGTTGACCAGGATGGTCTCGATCTCTTGACCTCGTGATCCACCCGCCTCGGCCTCCCAAAGTGCTGGGATTACAGGCGTGAGCCACCGCGCCCGGCCCAGCTCTTTTTAATTTAATTTATTTTCCTTCCTTCCTTCCTCCTCCCCTCCCCTCCCCTCCCCTCCGCTCTCCTCCTCTCCCCTCCCCTCCCCTCTTTCCCTTCCCTTCCCTCCTCCTCCCTTCCCTTCCCCTCCTTCCCTCACTCCTTCCTTCCTTCCCCCCCTCCCTCCCTCCCTTCTTTCTTTTCTTTTTTTTTTTTGAGACAGACTCTCGCTCCAGGCGCCAGGCTGGAGTGCAGTGGCGCTATCTCGGCTCACTGCAACCTCCGCCTCCCGGGTTCAAGCAATTCTTCTGCCTCAGCCTCCCGAGTGGCTGGGACTGCCGGTGGGGGCCACCACGCCTGGCTAATTTTTGTATTTTTAGTACAAACGGAGTTTCACCATGTTGGCCAGGATGGTCTCAATCTCTTGACCTC